TCTGGCACACATCAGATTTGAGAAAGATAAACAAACAAAAGGCAGGACACGTGGCAGTGTAACTGTACGGGCTGCTCTGATATGCATTCACTACATTGGTGTACATGTAATTGCTCCACTTCATCTCATCTTCCTGGTGTTGACAGCGTGCCATCTCTATTCAGGGCATGTCCTGCATGCTGTGTCACCTTGGTCAAACAGCTGGCGTCAGCTTCTTGGGCTTTAGCGCCTCTCCTGTGTTTACGACCTGCGTGTGTCAGAGGAGCTTCATGCATGCAGCGCTGCTGTGCACCGGTGTGCTGCTTATCTCTGCCTCCCCTCCTGCCCCGCTGACCCTGTCCACAGCGCTGGCAGGGAGAGAATTAGCCTACTTAGCCTATTCCCCACCAGGGTCAGGCCACACAGACAGCAGCGCAGACAGCAGCACAGACAGCAGAGCGCCCAAGTGAAGAGGAGACACTCATGCCTCAAGAAGTGTGATGACAAATGATAAGGCTGCACTTAAACACAGGTGTCCCTAGTTTGACCTTTCACCCTTAACCTTGAACAAAAAGCTTTTCATACGGAGGCGAGCCATCAATCAGCGCCCATCAATCATGGCTCCACTCTACCGCCCGCCACCACACCCCCAACCTTCTCCTGCCCCACCATCCATCACCACACTCTAGCCTTTCCCTGACATGGGCAAAAACACAAACACTCCCTCTGTAGTCTGATAACACTCTCTCTGTAGTCTGATAACACTCTCTGTAGTCTGATAACACTCCCTCTGTAGTCTGATAACACTCCCTCTGTAGTCTGATAACACTCCCTCTGTAGTCTGATAACGCTCCCTCTGTAGTCTGATAACGCTCCCTCTGTAGTCTGATAACACTCTGTCTGTAGTCTGATAACGCTCCCTCTGTAGTCTGATAACACTCCCTCTGTAGTCTAATAACACTCCCTCTGTAGTCTGATAACACTCCCTATGTAGTCTGATAACAATCGCTCTGTAGTCAGACTACACTCCCTCTGTAGTAGTCTGATAATACTCCCTCTGTAGTCTGATAACACTATCTGTAGTCTGATAACACTCTGTCTGTAGTCTGAAACCACTCTGTCTGTAGTCTGATACCACTCCTGTAGTCTGATAACACTCCCTCTGTAGTCTGATAACAATCGCTCTGTAGTCAGACTACACTCCCTCTGTAGTCTGATAACACTCTGTCTGTAGTCTGATAATACTCTGTAGTCTGATAACACTCCCCTCTCTCTTCTAATAACACTCCCACTGTAGTCTAATAACACTCCCTTTGTAATCTGATTACACTTTCTAACACTCCTTATGTAGTCTGATAACACTCCCTCTGTAGTCTAATGACATTCTATCTGTAGTCTGATAACACTCCCTCTGTAATCTGATAACACTCTGTCTGTAGTCTACTAACACTCTGTCTGTAGTCTAATAACACTCTATCTGTAGTCTGATAACACTCCCTCTGTAGTCTGATAACAATCACTCTGTAGTCAGACTACACTCCCTCTGTAGTCTGATAACACTCTGTCTGTAGTCTGATAATACTCTGTAGTTTGATAACACTCCCCTCTCTAGTCTAATAACACTCCCTTTGTAATCTGATTACATTCTGTCTGTAGTCTAATGACACTCCATCTGTAGTCTGATAACACTCTGTCTGTAGTCTACTAACACTCTGTCTGTAGTCTGATAACACTCTGTCTGTAGTCTAATAACACTTTATCTGTAGTCTGATAACAATCGCTCTGTAGTCAGACTACACTCTGTAGTCAGACTACACTCTGTAGTCTGATAATACTCTGTAGTCTGATAATACTCCCTCTGTAGTCTGATAACACTCCCTCTGTAGTCTAATAACACTATCTGTAGTCTGATAACACTGTCTCCGCTCCCTCTGTAGTCTGATAACAATCGCTCTGTAGTCAGACTACACTCCCTCTGTAGTCTGATAATACTCTGTAGTCTGATAATACTCCCTCTGTAGTCTGATAACACTCCCTCTGTAGTCTAATAACACTATCTGTAGTCTGATAACACTCTGTCTGTAGTCGGATAACGCTCCCTCTGTAGTCTGATAACAATCGCTCTGTAGTCAGACTACACTCCCTCTGTAGTCTGATAACACTCTGTCTGTAGTCTGATAATACTCTGTAGTCTGATAACATTCCCCTCTGTAGTCTGATAACAATCGCTCTGTAGTCAGACTACACTCCCCTCTGTAGTCTGATAACACTCCCCTCTGTAGTCTAATATCACTTAGTCCAATAACACTTTCTCTGTAGTCTAATGACACTCGGTCTGTAGTCTGATAACACTCCCTCTGTAGCCTGATGGCACTCCCACTGTAGTCTGATAACACTCCTTGATGGGCCGACACAGTCATCAAGGACACTGAGCACCCACTCTATACCCTCTTCCGGCTCCTGCCTTTTAGGTCACAGGCACCAGACATAAAAGGGCCCACCTCAACAGAACTTTTGTCCCAGCAACCAAACTAACTCACTGACCTATCATCTTAATTTCCTTTGTTAATTTATCCATTGTTTTATATGTTTGGTGTTTAATGTCAACACATCAATATGTCATGACACTCTCTGTAGTCTGAAAACACAACTTCTGTAGTCTGATAACATGCTGGGACAGTGCACAGACCATTTGTCCTACTCTCTCAGAACTACATGCTACGTGCTGGAGAGTTGTCAGGTGCTCTCTGGGTCCTCACCGCGGGCACTCATCGTTGACATGTTTGCACCTGCCCTGATGCATGACACAGGGCTCCAGTCCCAGGGCTCTGTGGCAGCTGAGAGCGCTGCATCAAAGGCCCCCAGCACAGACAGAGTGTAGCCAAGAGCAAGCAGAAGACCAGTCTGACTCCAGGTTACTACATCAAAACTCTTCTCTGAAACAAACTAAAGTGCTTTCTAATGCAGTGTTGAGGTGGGCATGCAGCTTTGACACATCCAACGCTCAAAACGGGGCTACAACTTTAATTGAAATCTAATCGAAATAGCAATTTGTACCGTCCCAATTTTCAAATCAAAAGGCTGCATTTAGTTGGGTAATAGAATATAAGCAAGCAAAATATACTCTCTTTTTATGATGAATAATAAAAACAAACTTTCTAGCTCTGTTTTGAAACCTATGGGACTCTTGTATTAGTTTTGCTGGTCATGTTTTTCAACCATCTCTCCAATGTTAATGCCTATTGGTTTAAAATGTGCACTGTGAATTGAATCCAGATTTGAAAACATACATTTCAAATCTAATCACAACTTTCTTCCTTTCTTTATTTTTTTCTCCAGAATCATATGTTTCTCGTTCAGAAGACCTTATGCTATTGGAAAATTGCTCCTTCATCACTTAGTCTACAGTGTATGGGGTAATAAAGTCAAGCCTAATGGAAAATACACAGGCCATATCTAATAAGTAAAATTAGCCTGACACTAGCTGACGTACACAGGGACAGGGAGCTGGGTATTCTGATATAAAAACAGGTGAGCCTAATGCACTTTTGGCCCATGCTCTATAATTACATCGCAGAATGCATTCTAATTGGCAGTGTCTTTATGCAAAACTATTATCAATGTCCCTCGGAGGCAGCAGAGGAGGAGGAGGAGGAGAGGGCCGAGAGGAAGGGTAAGTTTAGGGTCCATTTACACATGGATGAGGACCGCTAATAATGCCAGCCTAGCAAGTCCGTCTGGGGGAAATGAAAGAAAGGTGGAACATATTGAAAAGATTTGGAATGCATGAAAATGTAAACTTAAAAATGGGAATAATGTTTTAGCAGCAGTCGGAGACCTTAAGAGGTGTAGTGTGTTAAAACAGTCCTGAAACAAAAGTTGACAAAAATAATAAGCAAACTAAAGGTCATAATCAAGTTAGAATGGTGGTGTGAATTCATAGTTAAGAATTTGGCCAACTACATTATGTACCTTGCTCAAAGTATTTGCATTGTCCTCATTAGAGTGTTTATGTAGAGTCAAAATGCTATATCTCACTCAAAAATAGACTGTATTTTGGATTTTTGGATTTCTGAAACTAGTATGTCTCATATTTGTTGTTTAAATATATGAAAAACCAAAGAATACCGCCAGCTTTTACATGTTTTATGTTCTGAAAGGGTAAGCAAAGCAGCAAAACTATCCAAATGAGTCAGGGATAATTTCACTGCTTGAAGGTGCACTTGTCTCTTGTCTCCAAGGAAATGTTATTGCTTTGCCTTGAATGTTCCACAGTACGGCATTAAACATATCTCCACTGAGATAAGTAGGTGGCACCATCTGTGGCGAGGATAGCCCTGCTCAAGAATGCATGTCCTTCAAGGTTTTGTTGCTCAAAAACACCTCATAATGTAGCTACAACATTCCAGGCAAAACACAAAGCAGGTAGAGGACCACCCACCTGAAAAGTTACATAGTGCATATTTAATTACTGATCTTTTTACAATAAATAAATCAAGAAAATAAATCAACTAAAAGTTTATGCGGCTAATACAAGGCTTATGTCAAAGTCGTACAACAGTGGATTTCCTCTGAAGACATCTATTTGAATACATAACAAAATAAATTAATTGCATGTCTGGCACGTCTCTGTTTCTAAAATATCACGGCTGGATTTGGCATTTTGTTTCTGGTGTGGGTCTAGCTTATGACCCAGACAAACCCCAGCTTTCTCTAGAGTTATTAGGCGAGTGTTGAGAATACAGGAACGCATTAAACAGAATTCAAAGCAGACCATAGAGCATATTATGTTAATTGGTTTGCTAAAGGGCAATTATTAGTTGATATTAATATTCTATGGTTTATCTGTACATTAACAACTTTCTCCTCAAAAGCTATTATCAGTGTGAGTTATTAACCAGTGAATCAGGGTTACATGAGACAATTGGAAAAATGACAAAATGCAAATAACCTCCCCGATGCAATACACAAAGGGTGTTATGGATCTTAACGTATTTAAAAGAACTGCATAATCGTCTTACCTTGTTTTAGGGGATGTGGTTAGCCATTCTTCATGCTTTTCGAATGTTATCAAGTAAGCTGCGATCTCCTGTGGAAAGGAAGAGGAGAGAGGGGAAGAGAGAGTCAGGCTTTAGATATGTCATCTTTAATCACTGTTCACTTGTGTTTGTAATACAAGGCTGAGACTGCTTCATTGATATTCCGACAGTCCAACCGGCAGTGCAAACAGGACAAGACGTGTGAATAAAAGGGGAGCCTAGGATGCCGGGGAGCCGGAGCAGGTAAACGGTGAAAAAGTAAAGTGAAAGACAGAAGTGGGACACAGCCGAGGTCAAATCATCTTCAGAGACGCGGCTTTGTTACCCAAACTTTGATCAAGTTCTTTCCTCTGAGGACATCAAGGTGCTCTCCGTGAGATTGACGCGTTTGAGACTGGGAGAAGCTTTTAACATTTTTGGTCCGATCCTCCCCCAAATCCGTTTGATCTGCCCTTGACACTCCCATATGGATCAATTCGCTCTTTAACCCATGAATAATAAGCACAAAGCGGTCTTACCATATTGACATGTGAGTATACTTGCAACTACAGAGAAGTGCTTTTTGGTAAAGGGCCACTGACTGCTACTGGAATAAATAGAGATCCTTCAGACCGTTTGATTTTGCCAGAGCTTGCTACCCAGCCTTCTGCATCAGTCACACTGCAAGGAGAACACACTAGCCCCAAACCCAGCCATTTTCCCACCAAACTAATGGGCAGAAATAAAAGCACTTTGGATGCTGGTGGACAACCTAATGATTACCAGCGACAGGCCGCAATCCACTCCAGAGGGAGCATTTGTCAGAGACGGCAAGGGCAGGGAGGCTAGCGAGCTCCTTCTACACAATATCATCCCCACACATGTTAAGAGTGTCACCATACTTTTAAAGCACAAATATCTCCAAATATTGTCTTGTTTGCCTGAAAAAGCCCTCCTTTAGGATCTGGAATGGTTGTTTTGCTATCCCACATGGTGCAGTAACGCCTCCCACACCCGCGACACTCCGCAGAGTCAGGTAAAATATGAGTCACAAGTGGTTCCACAAAAGCAGGGGACGTGCATTGCTTTGTTTTTCTTATCCGCCTGCGTGGAGGAGTTAGAAGGCTCTTTTGGCTGCATTACCAGTCATGAGCTAGAGGCCGTGGGGGCGTGAGGGCTTCCCAAACTGGCAGGGGTCCCGGCAGAAGAGGGGCACCAACGCCTGACTAGCACCCTCGCCTCCAGGTGCAAGCTGGGAGATAATGCTGCGTTGATTAACTTCCTGTTCTCTGAGCCACAATGCCCGGCGGCGTTGAAAGTGTGACAAGATGTAGTTTTGAATTAAGGAAAAGATAGCAAAACGGATGTCAAAAAATGAGCTTATATGCTTTCAACTTCTGCTACACAAGGATAAAACAATAAAACTGGAGATAGTACAAGTATCATATGGATTCAATAAGATGTTAGGTGCGCCAACGATTATATTATTTGTTATAAAGAAACATAAATACACCTAGTGGGGTTAGTGCTGCATATATTTGTAAGTAAATGAGCAAAGCATGCCAATGATTAGATTAATCCTTGCTATTTTCTGTTCACTTTGGGATGGATAAACCGCAACAGGGAGCTCTTGGGTGACCTGCGTGCCCGGTAGCGAGCAGCCCTTCCATCAGCGTCTTTAAAATTCAGACGCGATCCAGGTCTCAGCGGTCGGGCATGAAATAGTAGGCCGCGCGGTCTTGTATTAAAGCAACAAAAAAACAGTCTACCTCTGGCTCTCTCCGCTAGCCCCTCCCTCAACCAACAGATGCCAGGGATTATTCCAACCCCCCGACCAACCATAAAGGTGCAATAATCTTATGGCGAGGAAACAAACAAAAACAGACGTGCCGCCATTAAACAGCTGCAAAGAGACAAAGTTTGCATGGGCGGCATAATGAGAGGCGAGCGAGTATGCGTTCAGGTTAGACACACACACGCACGCACACACACACAACTGAAGACTGGCTGTGAGAAGTGCCGGGGGGGAAGTGGGAAAGTGATATGCTGAACACTGACGGAGCATCAAAGTCAAGGCAGCAGCTGTCAATAGGCTGTGGGCTGAGTGCTGACCCCAGCGCCGCCGGCCGCTCGGTCACAGGGGAAATATACACACAGTAGCTCCACTGGCTCACAGGTCAGCAGCATGCTCCTCTGAGCCTGTACCTCCCTCCACCATTCATCCTTCAGCTTTTATCTCTTTATGGGCTGCAGAGAACTGAACGTCATCTGGGCTTTGTTTGTAATAGTCCTGAAGGCGCAAATATGATGCTGGCTAATGATGGGCCAAGCGGAAATCCATGTTTTTTGGCTTGCTTTTATTCAGTTTAATTTGTGAATGATTAATTAGTAGATAGGGACTTTTGTATGTTATTTTTTTTCCAGTAAGGTTAATAACAACTTTTTAGTACACAAGGAATACAATTGGCCAAAAGGAGTGTCTTTATTTGTATAGAAATGTGCAAACTTTAATGCTATACCATAGAACATTCCTTGCAATGAAATAACATGGAGACAGCAGGTGGCGGATAGCCAGGCTGGTGCCACCTAGTACCTCCGCTCCATTTTATTTCTCTCCAGCGACTAGGTCAGGAATTGGAATATACTAAATGGTTTGCCAGAACCCCGGAAGTGCGAGTCCGGGCAGCAGCCAATCAGCGAAGAGCCAAGTATTCTGTGTTGGCAATGATTCCGAGACTGAGGATTTAGAAGTCCAAACAAAGAGAATGTTTGGTGAATTTTATCAAGGGGAAAGACGTTATTGCCCTTCTTCCTATCGGATTTGGGAAACGCTTAATATACCAGTTAGCCCCGTTAGCGGCGCATTACATACGTTCATGACCAAATAGCAGCGATTGGTTAAATAAAAAAAAGTACCCGCCTACCGTTGAGCAAAGGAATCCTAATATGTTGTGAGGTCAGATGGTTTCCACAAAGTGAAACTGGCTGATGAATCGGACTAGGTGGCGGATCCCTAAACAGAAAAGTCACATAGTGCTCCTCTAAAACAAGAAGAGCCTTTCTACCATTTTTCAATCCCATGTAAACTGTATTAACATCTAGAGTAAGTTTATCTTCCTCTGTTGCTTGTGAGGGTTAATCTCCTTAATTACACTCATTATGTAACATCACACTTTACTCTTCAGTGCTAGTCTAATTTTTCATGTTCCCCTTTTAGTCCCGCTTGAAATCCTGAGTCACAGAACAGGCTGTACTAAATGGAGGCACTCCCATCCAAGGCTGATCTAAATAAATAACAATCCAGGCGAGGCGGCGGCGGAGCGGAGTCTGAGCAGGAGCTATAGCACCTCTAATTGAGCCCCTTTCATTTTCCCGAGGAGAGAGGGACCCCGAGCTGTTTGTTGTACGCTCGCCATCTCATTTGTTCCTTTTGTCTGTGGGAAAACGGTGACACACTGTTAACAGACGGGACGCCCCACAACACGCCGGAGCATTCCCGCGGTAACAGGGCTGATCGAGATGTTGCTGTCATCCGCGTTACCACAACAAAACCTGATTAGTGCTACCTGTCTCAGCGTGGCACATTATTAAGGCTGAGCGACCTGGTTTACAACGCCAGTGACTGTGAGGGGACAATGTAATGAGTTAGCTAGAGACAGAGGGGGAGTTCACTACTTGGCCCTGGTTTGGACTTATTTTGAGTCCACTTCAGTCCTGATTTTGATTTTGTTTTATTGTAGTTATGGTTTAGTCTAGAGTCCAGGTTATGTCCAAATTTTTAAGTGATGTATATGTGAACACACTCCATACCTCCACACCTTTCCCAAATCAGTTGACTCAAAATCTACATACATGAGTCAAATAACATGATGACTAATATGATATCAAAGCTACTGGTCAAATCTGTGGAGAAGCAACCATGCTCACAATAGAAATTCATGTTTCTATGTATTATTTTGGCAATAAAAGCACGTAATTGAACAAACACAAGATAAATAAGATGAATGCCATATTGTGGAACATATTCATTGAGATAAACAGGTGGCAGACCTTCCACGAGAAAAGTTACATAGCGCATCTTTAATCAATTATTGCATTCTCATAGTCTTTTTTAGCAGTAGAAACCCATCCCAGTCTAACCAGGCACTGTTCAAGAGAAAACAGGAGGGAATATGTATTGGAAAATTGCAAGTGGATGAAGACAAAAAATTGAAATAAAACACCGTGATGTAAAAATAATATTAGATCTTAGCTTGATCCAATCTAAGTAAGAAAAATGATTTTGGTTGCCATTTGAGCTTCTTTTATGAGCTGTCACTTCCGCTCTCATCACGGTGCTATTCAAAACAGTTGTCTCCTCCTCAAGCCTCCGCACTCTGCACAATGCCACTATTTCCGTTTGCTTTTCCGTAAGGTGAATAGAAAAGCCACCGTGAGAAAATGTTCATTTTGTGAGGACTGGCTTTTACTGTCTCGCTTTTCAAATGATATTTTCACTCAGGAGGTACAACATTTCCTCCAGAGAGAATCAGCTTTTGAAATGTCTACCTATTTGAAATTGAAGATGACACTAACATATTCATTCCATTTGAATTCTTGCCACCAAAAAGAGGAGCGGTAAACGCACAAGATAAACACTATTTGACCTCTCCCATCTGCGGCAGGGCCCTAAAGAGAAAACATGCGTTGCCTCTTATAGTAATTGTCCCTTACACGATATAGGCCATGGCATACCCCAGCACATCCAGTGATTGTTTTGCTTTCTGCTCCTCTTTCTTTAAGGGCCATCTTTGATTTATGGGAGAAAAGCGGAGTGAAGGGAGAGCTAGCGTTTAGCATTTGGATGACAGGCCTGATCACTGGAAACAACTGTCGGTGTTCCATTAAGAGGGGAGATAGAATTCTTTTGGCATTATCACAGGACACATCAGACACCTGTCTCTAAACACCATCCATAATGTCTACAACGTCTTAGCGGTGAGCAAAGTGCATTCATACAAAGAGGAGTTGGTGGAGGAGGGGTGTGGTGAAGAGGGCTGGAGAAGAACAGGGCTTTTCATTATGAGATCAG